TGCACTATATATGGAGTTACTATATAATTTATCCATCTAAACTAGGCCATTTTGTAAGTGGGAGGGAGAAATTTAAAATTATTACAAGACAAGAGGTTTAAAATAGGACTGTCCTGAGCAAACTTGATGAGTATTTATCTCATGCATGAAAAACCGTCTATAGCAGTTGATTGACGACTTGCTTTGGATGTGCTTTCCCATAGTGATAAACATGGCTCCTCTCTTAATTGTATGTCATAACCTGGCTTGTCTTTACTTACATCATCACTTAAATATCAATTTTAAATACTTGTGATATGAAATATGAGTAACAGTTATCAAGGTACTTCTCATAGACTGATTACATGTGTCATCAGAGAGCTTTGTATAGTGTATTACAGTAACAGTTTAGAAACACACAAAAAAAACACAAAACACCTGTGACTCTAAAAATGTCTTTAGTAACTAGTTATAGGAGACTGTAGAAAGAGAAAGAGAAGCCTTAGAGATGCAGATGCCAGGATGAGATTGGATATTGTCTTAGTTACTTTTCTGTTTCTGTGATAAAGCATGGTGACCAAGGGAACTTATAAAAGAAAGAGTTTATTTGAGCTTATGGTTCTAGAAGAATTAAAGTTCATCATAGCAGAGGGAGGCATACTGGCAAGATGTGAGCAAAGCAGAAGCAGGAGCAGAAGCAGGAACAGAAAGCACAGGCTCATATCTTCAAGCAGGCACAGGAAACAGACAGCAACTAGGAATCCCACAAGGCTTAGTTCTTCAAGCTGGTCCCCAGTAACATGCTCCCTCTAACATTGTCACACCTTCTAAGACATCCCCAAATAATGCCACCAACTGGGGACAAAATGTCTGACTACTTGGAGTCTATGAGGCACATTCTCATTCAAACCATTACAGGCATGTAGAGATAATTTAAGAGAAAGATAAGGAAAGGGTAAGGGAGGAGGCATGACTCCTGATGGAGAATAGAGAAGCTTTGTGAAAAACAGACACTTCTCATTTGTGAAAGTAGAGAGGGAAGAGGAAGCTTAGGTTGAGAGTACACTATCTCAATAGTACATTGTCATTCTTAGAAAGTCCTGGCTACCAAGCTGCAGGAGTGGGTTCATTACTGCCACCTTATGTTCAGTTATTTACTACCTGAGCACTTTTGGGTACATTAAGCTCCTAGATGCTCCCAGCTGGGTATGGAGGCCACTTAATCTAGTGGCAAACTGTTAGGACTTCCATGATAATTTTGTTGACAGAATAATGTTCTACCTCTCATCATAAAAGGCTGCATTTAATTATTTACTTTTTATGACTAGAAATTAAATTCTGAGCACTTTTTTGGTATATAGGAAGAGGCAGTTCATTTTCAGGTTGTCTTTGTATGACATTAACTGTTCCATATGAATTTATATTATAAAATATATATGGGAAGATTTTAACAGTATGAAAATACAGATGTATCTTCTGTAGTCACACAAGTTGAATGTTTTGATGAAACATTCAACATTTTAAGTCATTCTATTTGTAGATGATGGGGATAAGCTGTCTAACAATATTTTCATATGGCATTGTGAACACAGTATTTTGTTTGCATAGATTCTTGTTAATAGTCCTGGGGACTGAACTCAAGACTTCATGCATGTTAGGCAAGTCCTCAGGTGCTCTGCCATTTAGCTACATTCCCAGTGATTTTTAAGCCCTTTATAAGCATCAGTGGAATAGATGTGTATATTCCATTATGTGAATGTATCATTATTTAATAAAACATACCCCTATGGTTTAAAATGTAGGGTATTCCCTAATGTGATAACACTGTTTTGGACTAGAGAGCTGGCATAACTGTTTAGGGCTCAGGCTTTCAATCAAAACACTATTTTATTTTCAATATCATTTATTTAAATAAATTTGTCTGGTAGTAGGGAATATACACTAAATCAGAAATATAATGTCTTTGCATTTCCAGATTTTCACACATTTTTAAATGCATGCTAATTTTTCCATAAATGAATGAAAATACTGGGTTGGAGACCAAGCTCATTAGAAATTTTTTTTTCACAGAGAAGGTGTGATTCCTTGAGATTCACACTTTCAGAGGTGTGATCCCTTGAGGTTTTATCTTACTTTCCTTCTCAGAATACAAAGGACAAGAAAAGAAGGACTCTAGACTCAGCAATCCAACAATCTTCTTAATTACCTACATACATTTTGTCATTTTCCTTCAAAATAGTAAACCTATAATCAACCATCAGGATTATTCAATAACTATAAATAAGAAAAGAAATACTGCTTCAGATTAAATCAATCATTCAAAAAGAAAAAAAATACCTTATTTGTATTATTTAACAGTGTTATGTCTTGAAAATTCTGGCTTTTGCTTATCTATGAAATAAGTATGTAAATGTGTTTCACAAAATTAATTTGTATTTAATGTCATAATGTGTAAAAGGAACCACCATTTGGTACTTTGTAGGCAAAACTGCTGATAATACTAAGGAAACCACCAGTTGTTATATTAAACAATTAGGAAAATTGCATAATCATAACCATAAGAGACTCATTGAAGAAAATCTGTGAATTATGTTGTTCAAAGGTGTCCTTGGGAATGCATCTAGAAATTCATAGTATTAGTTATTGAAATTATGCAAATGTACAGTAATGTTCCAAACATGTAAGATCTACATAGCCCGTAGATTATAAAATAATATATTTAAGGAATGGTATTTTTTTATTGTCCAAGTAAGACCATTATGATATTAAAAATACTTAACAAACATTGTGAAGCTAATTTGGATGACTAAAAGGAAGATGTAGAGAAATTAACTATAATGAAATTTCTTCTTTGTTATTAGAAAACATGAAGAATGATAGATTTGTGATGTTAAAGAGGACAGTTTTCTATGTTGCCTGGGAAAAGGGCACTGTACCATGAGTGAGGTTTTCAGTGTATCAAGATGGCCTTAATACAAACTAAAGTGAAAATTCTTTGGTTTATTAGGAAGTTCCCTATGACTACAGTCACATTTCAGAAAAAATTCAGCTGCTTATACATTAGTGGCCTGTCTGCATCCAGCAGATACCTCCTTCTATGCACCTGAGACTGAGAGCGAAATTGAAGGTTAAAGCATGGCTTATTGACAAAGTCTTAGCTAGTCTAATATGGCATAAGAATGTTCCAGAAGCTACACTGCCAGGATTCATAGAATCTCAGTTTTGAAAGCCTTGGTTTCTTTGTACATGTATTTAATATATTTAGAGAAAACCATAAAAATATTGAAGTGAAATATATAATTTTGTGTGAGAATGTACTAAAATCCAACAAAAGCAATTACTATAACAAAATACTTAAGTGAAAATCAATTAAATAAATATGGGATGAAGACATATATTGTTTTCATTCTTTGTAATGGCTATTGCATCCTTGGAAATATGTGGGGTCCTTTATCTCCATTTACAAAGTTTCCCACAGTGAAACAATATTAAATTGTCTTTACTGAGTTGTGCATGCATCAGAACTCTAGACTCATCAATGTTTCATTGGCCAAGTTAACTGATCTCTCAAGGGTTATTTCCTCATCTGTAGCATAATGGAATACTAGCACTATGGAAGAAGCATGGGCACTGGGGTCAGGTAAGTAGCTTGTGACTGTACAAGAGAGATCTTGAGGTTGTACAGAAGTTACATTCTATTTATCATCATTTGAAGGGGCTAAAATTATTTTGGTAACTAACTTACTAAACCTGCCTGTTTACTTGATGTGATGTTGGTGGAAGTAGTGGATATATGGGTTTGGAATAGTAAATCTGAGGCATATGTGACTAATACATGTCCATTTGTTTGCTCAGATCATAAATGAAAATCAAGCAGACCATGCTGAAGTTATAACTAGGAATATACTAGGTTAAAGTGTGGTAACAAAGTACTCTGAAGCTTCAATGGCTTACAATCCCAGGGTACAAATTCGGCTGTGTCTCCACAGGCTGGAGACCAATACTTTAATAAATGGTTCATTGGAAGACATTTAGCATCCAATCTTCAGAAGTACTCATTAGGTATAAAAGGAAAAGGCCTATGTTTGCTAAGATGTTCATGCCCATTTCAAGGGATCTGAAGGAATATCATAGAAAGATCTATATATACTAAGATAAAATGTATGTAAGTTACTTAGTGTAGTTACAGATTTCCTTCAATTTATCAATATTAGCTTTAGTTTTTTGGACTGAATGCTTCTACTATTATCTATTGTGGTAAAAAAAAAATATTACCTAGACTGTTAGGACTTGATTTTCAGTTATAGAATAAGCAGGTTTATACTTTAGGTTGGTTCCTGTGCAATTTAAATTCTAATTTATAAAGAGTGTCTTAATGTCTGGTAGTCAAGTTCTTCATGCTCCTTAAAATTCTATTTGATCTCATCTTGATCTGATGATCAGACAGTCTTAATAAAGTTCTTGGAATAGGATGGCAGGTACTTTTGTCTTAAATGAAATGCACGCGTGTATAGACAAAGTTGCACTTTTTGTTTAGTCAAAGATTTCTTTGTACTTTTGCCCTATTTAATGTACATAAGCTTTGTATCTTTTACTAGGCTATTAGAATTTCCTTATGAATGTTTAATTTTGATTTTTATCAGTGGTGTGCTGCTTTTAGGGCCACCACATATACATATGGCTATGTAGACTAACATTCAGCATGAATCTAGGCTGTGACATCTTATTTTCATTCCATGATCTATTCATGTTTTCAGTTTGGGGACTAATCAATATCCATTTTACTACTTTTATATCGTGCATTAAACTTCTTATATTGAATTCTAAATTTTTAAGTATTAGTGTATAAAGACTGTTCATATGGCAATAAGACTATTTTAGTTAAAATAGCACTTTTGTTCCATTTTAGTTCCACCTTATATGTTATAATAATCTTTAAGTATTACATATTTATAAATATACATTATAAATATACATATATATATCATTTGATGAACACTTATCCAACTTTTTTTGCTTAGTGTTGATAAAGCAGATGATGAAGATGATGAAGATTTAACTGTGAACAAAACATGGGTTTTGGCACCAAAAATTCATGAAGGAGATATCACACAAATCCTCAATTCATTGCTTCAAGGCTATGACAACAAACTTCGTCCAGATATAGGAGGTACGTCTAAGAATCATCCTGGGATTTCAATTTTATTACTGGTGCTGTTTCAGTCATTTATCACATATCCACTGTGTGCTGAAGATTGTTGAGTTTTAGAAAAGTTAGTTGGATTCATCATGTTTTTGAAAAGTTCACAACTTGAGATGAGCCAAAAAAATACAGTCACTTATGTGATTATTTATTGTTACAAAAGATGCTACAAGAGAGCTTTGTTGAGACTGCTTAGAAGGCTGAGAAGAAACTCCTAAAAATGATAATATTGAAAAAGAATAAATAGCGGTTGTACTTTATGACAGTGGCACACTGTCATGATGATAAAGTTAGTGGGAATAATGAACTTTGTTCAAGATAATTGCTTTAAGTCCTTGCAATTATTCACTTTTTTAGATATAATTAACTGTTAAGCTTGCCACACTAGCTGTAAGACAGACAAACAGAAATGAACAAACATTCTAATTGAGGTTGCATAATTCTATAATTATTATAAATTCATTACATATTGATAATTTCTATATCAGATTCCTAAATATTATATATTTCTATTTGTTTATTTAATGGTGAAAACTGTTTTTCCAAAAAGATATGCTACTAGAAGTATCCTTAGATCCTTAGATATAATTACATTTGATTAAATTCTTTATTCAAAAGTAATGACCACCCGGACACACGTCTGCTGTGCTTCATCAGCTTGTTGCCCAAGATTATGTTTCGGTTTTGGCTTTTGTGTCTCTTCCGATTCTCTCTTGATCTGACAAAGTTTCCAATTTTTGTGTTTGTGTTATCTTAAAATTTTTAAAGAGTACCGCATGGTTGAGTGCCCTTGACTTTGAATTTGATGATTTTTTTGTAAATATTTTTTATTGAATCTTTATGTATTTCATACAGAGAATCTTAATCTTTTTTTTT